CACATTTTGTAAAAGCAATCTGGAAATGGTATAGGCCATATTCTTTGCAAAGATTTTCCGCGGCCCAGTTAGGTGTTTTTTTAGGAGTTTCAAGTAGTTTTTTTCGGCCTTCCAAAAGTCGAGCTAGCTGGGAGTGGTTGTAAACATTTATCTATTTTATTCTCTTTTTCCGCGTCTAACAAAAAATGATCTTTTGCTGTCCTTTTTCCAAAAAAATAAAGAATCTGCTACATTTTAGGTGTCCGAAATTTAGTTATTTTATTAGATGACGGTTATTGCATATATTTTATACTAAAATTACGGTTTTAGTTTGTTACAATTTCTGTAGACTTGGTCTGCAATTTTTGGTTCCGACAATAAAAACCCGTTAGACACGATCACAAACCTGACAACATCTGATATGTATTGGTACAAAGATGATTTAATAATTTATAATTATTTCTATAGTCAGACAAAAACAAAAATTTGATAAGTTATGACACAAAGACAAATAACAAATCAAAAGTGATAATTTACTTGTACTAACTGGAGTACAAGAGTGCTACCTGAAATTATCTTAAAATTAAGGCACTTGCAATATAGGAGAAGTGAAAAAATAAAGGATAATAGCATTGTACCCGTCCAAATAATGAAATTGTATAACAATTATCACACAGAACAACTTCATATGATCACGTATACTTAAACATGCAAATCAAGGTTTTAAATCTCCGGTTATAGCCTCCGTTATCTCCGGCTATAGTTGTTTAAGAAGGATTTAGTTAATGTTTTCTATGTATAAGTTAGTTCTTAGCTGCCGCTAGCTGGCTAGTCTATTTTCAGATATAGACAGCTAAATGACTTAGTCGGCTATTTAAAATCTTGATGCAAACCAGAACTGTGAAGTCAAATGCAAGAAACTAGGAACGCGATACAGCAACTAGGACAACAAAGTACACGCGACAGTCAATTTGGAGCATCATCAACGCAGGCCACAACCGCTGGGAACAAAGGCAACCTTGCCACCGCGTACGTCGTAGACGATTTCCTTGGTCCGCTGCACCTGGGTTCCCATCAAGTTCCAGGGGAAATTCTCGTCGGGTGATGCCGCGAACTCGAGGCACCCGAAGGGGGCGCCGTCGGTGAGGTGCTCGCGGAAGAAGTACATGAACTGCCTATCGTCGAGGTCCATGGTCTCGCCGCGAATTTCAGGTTTCCGGTAGGCCTCAGCTTAATTTTGGATCCTTGCACATTGCTTTAACTAACATGGAAACAAAACATATATCTCCGAGGACCATCTAAGTTGCTGATTGGCTAATCGACTGAGTAACTGAGACTACTATATTATACTTGATTGACGCTTCTATATTTACTACCCGGAATATACCAACTTTAAACAACGGCCGTTTCTTTTTTTCCATCGAAGAATACTTTGGTCAAATCAAAATTAACCGTTCATAAAATTTACATGCACAAGCAGTAAATAAGAATAATATAGAACTTCCTTACTCCTTACTCCCTCCGTCCCATTGAGTTTGTCGCTCGGGAAGCGGGATTGTGAGGGGGGCACGGTTTTCAAACGACAAACTCAATGGGACGGAGGGAGTAGGCTTCATGGCACTATTTTAGTATTTTACAGCTACTATACTAGGCGTCAATGTACTTGACGGTGACGTGCGGGGCGAGCTCCTCGAGGCGGAGCCGCTCGATGCTCATCGAGGAAGTCCTTTGTACACGGGGCCGATCGAACCGGCCCTTTGTCGATAAAGTGGCTGATGGAGACCCCGTGTGTGACGGCCTTGAGCTTCACCAACGTGAAGGCGTGCAGACCCGAGACTGGCCAGCGTCCGGAACAGGTCATCCAGCGACAGCAACAGTAGCCAAAGCGGGCAAAGGAAATCGCCGGCGAAAAAACTGCTTGTTTTGCCGGCAGACATGCTTGTGCCGGACGAGTTTCCGACTTGGCCGTGCCTGATCGGGTTGTCGGGTGGTTTGGAATTAGATTGTAATTACAAAATCTACTACGACTAAAAAGAATAGTGTGTGGACATTTTTTATGCGATATTTGTTTTGGTTCGTCCGTCTGCCCACGTCTGCGATCCCACGACATCTTAATTACTGATTGATCGTACAATTCTCCTTGATTGAATATTGTCTGTCATGTGATAGAGGAAACACGGCAAAATAGGAGGTAGAAAATTATTATGCTATCCATATACACATTGTATGTTTGCATGCACCAGTATACATGGCAACGAGCAAAAGAAAAGAGAATTAACACAGAAGGAAAGAGAATTAAGACAAAAGGAACATCTTTGTATTTCTGAGAACCTTACCAAATCTGCCTACATTTAATTATTTCTCCTCTTTGCATTTGCAAAAGGGACAACTTTTTTCTCCTTTCATTTGATTTCACGCTCACGTGTTCCATCGCCCTCGCTTGCTGTTTCTTGCGTGAACCATAATTGATGTCATCTGTCTTTCATGGCTCAGCCTCCTAATCCCAAGAGAAGGTCCCTACCTCTTCCTCACTAGAGATCCGGCCTACCAGAGGATCTCCTCAAGTCCATTGGGCAGCGTCTCGCGTCAGGCCACGACACGGCGTCCTTCCGATCCGCTTGCTCCCCATGGCGCGCCGTCTGCTTCGCGACCTTCGGGCCGCTCGCCGCGCTCCCGTTCGACCCCGACTCGGACCGCGTCGGCTTTACTACGCCCCGGAGAAGAAGGTCTTGTCCAAGATGTTTGCCGACGTGCGCGGCAAGGTGGCGGCGGCTCCTTGTGTGGGTGGTGGTGGCGCCATGGACGAGGGCGGCGTCCGTGACGCATTCGCCGACTCCATTCGACGGTGCCGTGCCCCCGCGCTGAGCTCCCGCCGCCAGCAGCGAACAGCGCAGCGCAATGGCCCTCATCGAACGCTGCGGTCTCAAGGTCCACGGCCGGTGGGTCCTCCATCTCATCGACGGCTACGGGAACACAGATGCCGCAGACAGAGTCATAAAGCTAGAAGACATGAGGGACGTGTTCTTCGTGAGATCGTGCTCTCGGCGCAGCCTGACACCCCCGGCCGCCACTACAAGACATGTGTGGTTTTTTGACATTCTATTTATGTCAAAACATATGGAATTATTGTCACAACTTAAGATGACTTTAAGTTGACAAAAATTCAAACGTAAAAAAACCAACGTCACAAAGTGATCATATAACGTTTCTATATTTATTGTCACAAGCTTATGATATTGCTTGATTGTCACAAAATTCTAGGCCTTGCCACATGGCAGCTGACATGGCATAAAAAAATGTCACAAAATTAGATTTAGCCTGCTAAAGCCCACGTAGCTTAGGGGCCACAAACATTTTTTGGGCCGTTGCTAGCTGGCCCATTATTCATTTTCGTTTTTTATATTTTTTAGGATTGCAGCCCATACAATTTTCAACCCACACAATTGAGCCCATAAATTTTTTTCAGCCCAAACATTTTTTTGCAGCCCACATTTTTTTCAGCCCACAAATCACATGTTGGCCCAGCACACTTTACATTACTGAAGTCCGAGATCAATATAATAAATCAATAATGCAAATACACATAATTTACATATCCAGTGGCATTTTAACAATGATCAAAACTAAAATTACAAAAACATTATCTTATTCTATTAAGACCTATATCCTGTACAAAACACCTGCGGCAATCTTCCATATCTTCCAACACAAGGACCAACGCAATCATGTTTTCTGGATTTTCCTAAAATCAGACGAAAAAACACCATCAAAATTACACAAGTCATATAATAAGAAAGCACTAACTCAGTTTCCAACCGCTCAAATAAGGTAGATGTAGGCACAGCCGCACAAGCACTTGATGCATAAAAGAACCTGCCATAGAAACAGTCAGAAATTTAGAACTTTGATTCAAGAAATTGAATAAATAGATTGCTGAAGCAGTAAGCAGCAGCTAGTTACCATAATCTTATATGCAGTCCTAACAGAATATTTTCTTAAGCAGCAGCTAGTTACCATAATCTTATATGCAGTCCTAACAGAATGTTTTCTAACTCAGTTTCCAACCGCTCAAATAAGGTAGATGTAGGCACAGCCGCACAAGCACTTCATGCATAAAAGAAAATTTAGAACTTTGATTCAAGAAATTGAATAAATAGATTGCTGAAGCAGTAAGCAGCAGCTAGTTACCATAATCTTATATGCAGTCCTAACAGAATGTTTTCTTCAATCCCAACAGAATTTCATACTATCGACAAACAGTCTAAGCCTAGGGTTTGCTGCTTTATTTTCAGAAAGGAAAATGATACAGTCGACCAACAGACTAGAGCCAGTGTTTGCTGCTTTATTTTCACTGCAAAAATACTGCCCTCTTCTATATCTAATCTAATCATTAAAAGCACTTTCCAATACCTGCAGGCCCGGATAATAGATAGTAAAGGAGTCTAATCGAGGAACATGACAATGAAATTTGGATTTCACAAATTAAACTCTCCATCGAGTAAAATTACTGTCATCATATCGATCTGCTGAAACAACAATACTCTATTATATATATATATATATATATATATATATATATATATATATATAGGGAATTTGTAAACTGCTAGAACAGATTCGAAATTCAAATTTAAAATTCACGAGTTACTATTCACAGCACTATTCAAATTCAGCGTTCACTGTTCAAATTCGTGATACTATTCGAAATACTCGCTACTATTCAAATTCGGAATATGAACAGTGTGCAAGCCCTCACCAGAGAGTGGCTCAGGCCAGGATGCGTGCGATTAGTTAGTATGAGTACGATTATTGAATATGCGTGCGATTATTGAATAGGCTGACCTGACTAGTATTTCTCATGAACTTTTGCAGACTAGCAAGACCAATATTTCATCCGTATATATATATATATATATATATATATATATATATATATATATATATATATATATATATATATATATATATACCACGACAAGCAAGAAAAAGGTGGAGAAACTTGTACCGGAACAACAGAAGAATTATAAATCACACTTAGCACCAATTTCAGCAAAGGAAAAAGGCATGAGGTTGAAAGTTATGACTGCTCGTAGCTGAACAACATGAACGGATGTCAGTCAGTTGCTGAAGAGTTTGCCATCGACAACGGAGGCACTTGCCTAGGACGCTTGACCACCACCCCCGAAATCCTTTGGATATAGCACGGGGTCACAGTTTGGCAAAAAGCTAACAGCCGGAGCAAGGGCAGGGGAGGGGGTAGAATCGTGACCTGAACCATGTATGGCAGCGTGGATGGGGGCGCACGCATCAGGGCACGAGGAGGCAGCTTTGGATGAGAAGGTGGTTCCTGCATCGACGAGGGCACCTTCTTGAAGCAGACGTTCCCCTCGATCCAGCGGAGCTCAGCCTGTCGAGCCACGCCATCCCCGCCCGCCGCCATGGCAGCCTCTTCCACGACAACAGCAAACTGCACGCAGAGTGCCTGGTGGCGGCGCGCAGCCTGCGGCCTGCGCAACCACGCGCACGGGGGCGGCGGCTGCCACGCTCAGCTGAGGCTCGGCGACAGCGAGGCCACAGCCCAGCACAACACTCGACGCTCGGGGTCGGGACTCGGGGCGACGCGGCCTCGCGCTTGAGGCTTGCTGGAGTCCACGCTCTCGGGGGGCGGATGGGACCTGTCGAGAGGCAGCGGAGACGGGGATGGATGCGTAGGGACAGGAATCCTCTGGACCTACTTATATACTAGGGTTTATGAGAGGCATACCAAATCTCAACCATTGGATCTACAGATGAACGGCTCACGGTGAGGAAGGTTTCAGCTGGGCCTGCATATTTTTTGGGCCAATCTCACGGTCAGGAGTATTGGGCTAAATTAAAGCTGTCTTAGCCCGAGTTTTTTTAAATGTTTTCTCATTTTCTTTAGGGTAGAAATGAGTGTAAATTCTTGAAAGATATATTGTTATATTGAAATAATGCAACCAAATTAAGTTTATAAACAAATATATAAAATTAAGGTGTTGCCTATGATTTTTAAGAATTTTGGATGTGATTTGCTATTTTCTACGCTTTAGGTGATTTTTAAGCAGTCAACAATAAAGTTTTTTAGGCTATAATGAATTCAAACGGAAAAGTTGTTAACTATAAAGTTTTAGAACTCATCGAGATCTACAACTTTTATTTTTGTCATTTCTCCATCTGACTTTGTTTGAACAATGCAAAATTTGAATTTTAAAATATGACTACTTCAAACAAAATTTTGAAAGATTAAATGATTTCATCTGAAAAAGTCATCAGCAACAAAGGTGTAGAAGTCATCAACATCTACAACATTTATTTTGGTTATTTGTTCATCCGACAAAGTGATAGTAACATTGTTCACAAATTTTACATATCTCTTGTATGGTTTCATAAACTATTTGAGAGATATGTAAATTCGGTAAACAATGTTACTATCACTTTATCAGATGAATAAATGACTAAAATAAAAGTTGTAGATTTTGATCAATTCTATAACTTTTATGTTCATGTCTTTTTCAGATCAAATCACTTACTGCTTCAAAATGTTATTTGAAGTTGCTATTTTTTAAAATTCAAATTTTCAATTAATAAAACAAAGTTACATGAAAGTTTAACAAAAATAATAGCTGTAAGAATACAACAAATGGATATAGCATGATTTTAGAAAATTTTAGGAAAAAGAATCATCTCATTTGGAGTTAGCACGAGGGAGAAAGACTTGTTACAAATTTTGACTACAGATTAAAAAAAGAAAAGCTTATGTTCATGTTCTTGATTTTTCAGTATTTACGCAATTTATTTTTCTACTGAAAACTCATATGAAAAGGTCATGTCCGAATGACATGTAGGGTCCGAGCATTAGTATATATAAAGGAGTAAAGGAACTAGTTTGGACATGAAGACCTAGCAGCTGCAGTGGTAAGTTTTAGAACTCATTTTCGGATTATATACTTCGCACTCAGTGACGAAGCCAGAAAAAAATTTAGGAGGGACTGAACAAAAGATTAGATGTTTTTTTAACTTCTCTTAACCTTAGCCCCTCCTACCTAATACATGTATGCATAAAATTTTAAGAGAGGACTTAGGAAAACTCCACGTGCTCAGAATGGGTAGGGGGGGCTGAAGCCCCCCTAGCCCCACCGTTGGCTACGTCCCTGTTCGCACTGCACATGGCTAGTTAGACGTGCTACTCTGACTCATATAAACACATAAGAGAGTGACGAACCAATATAAAATAATCTATGCTTTTTAAATAATATAAATATATAAATGTAGATAATTATTTATTTTTTGATAGATCGAAACATGGTCAAGTGAAGCTGTGTCCTTAGACCCAAGTGGTCGCAGGTAAAAACCTCCAATGCCACACTTGTTTTGATATATTTTTTTGTCTTCTGAACGGGCCTGATGGAGGGAGGGAGTGAGGCCAACCGAGAGGCTGGCTGGGCCGCTTAGGTGAGAAGAGTCGGGAGGGGGACGAGCTGGGCTTGTGGAGTTGCTAAAAAAAGTTGGGCTGGTGGAAGGGACGAGCCTGGGCCAGAGGTGGTCGACGGGCCGGAAGGGAAGGGCGTTGGGCTGACCACTCAGGGGCCGAGCTGGGCTTGCAAAAAGAAGAGAGGAGGGTGGTTTAGGCCCAAGAGAAAGAGAGGAGGTCTTCTAATTTCTGCAGAAGAGAAAAAAAAATAGGCTCAGGAGAGGCATTTTTTAATTCTATTTTGACTTCATTTTTGCTTCTTTTTATATAAAAACAGAACCACATGTTTCAGTTTTATTTGTATGCGTGTATGGCCGCAGTTAGTTTTCGTCGCTTGTGCTCCAGAGCTTAAGTCAATTCGCTTCTATACAAACTATAATATAGAATGAACTGCAAAAGATAATTGAAACTTCTTTGTAGCCCAATGGTAAGACTCTTGCTTTTATTTTGTCTGATCCTAGGGTTGAGCACCCTTGCTCATAAATTTTTGAAATGTATTTTATTTTTTTCTCCAAGATAATATGTGTCATTTTGCTTATTTTTTCTATTGTAGTGATTAGGCGTATATAAAATAAAGCGCCACATTTTATTACGTCGGCCGTGAAATATAGACAACAGTGGACTAAAATATGTTGAAAAAAACAATTAAAATAAAAAAGAATATGTACCCACCTAATCACATGGCTGTGAAACATGCCAACATGGACAACAATGTTTAAAAAAGTTAACAAATTACTTTTTGACACACAAACTTTGTCATAGGTTGATGCCATTTATAAATTAGACTTTGTGACATAGAAAATGCCTCTATGATGTAGCAAATATTGTCACTGGATGGAATTGGACTAGCCATATGACGTTTTTTTGTGACATACAACTTTTTATTGTCACTAAGTCGAAGTGTCTAAAACAGAATGTCATAAACCGGATAATATAATGACATTCTGACATGTTGTCATGCTAAATACGTAAAAAACCACACATTTCTTGTAGTGCGCGAGTGCGTGGCCATAGCCATGCTTGGGTGCTCCATGGAGGTCGCGTTCTGCCGGGTTGGAGTCGATAGCGCATGGACGCTGCACGACACCAAACTGTAGTTCTTCATGGGGTCCATCATCCACTGCCAAGACAAGTTCTTGGCGATTGACTGCACTGGAGAAATCTCCGTCTGCAGCAGCAACGCCGCCGGCGCTACTCCAACCGTGATGCTGCTGCCATCGCTATCGCCACCTGCGGGGCTCTGCCACCGTAGCTACCTGGAATCAAACGGTGAGCTGCATATTGTGGGTGCCATGGTGAGCACGTTCCATGAGACAAAGAGCTTCACCTACAGCAACGTGATCTACAAGTGTGAAAGCTCTAGTTTGGTTTTGATAAATTGATGAAACCCTAAGTGCTAACCTAGTTTATCAAGTAATCATGAGATAGGTAGCACACTCCAAGTGGTGAAGCAAATGAAGATCATAGCATGATAATGATGCTGGCATGATGATGATCAAGTGCTTTGACTTAGAAAGAAGAAAGAGAAAAACAAAAGCTCAAAGCAAAGGTATAATTTGTCTGAGCTATTTTGTTTTGGTGATCAAAACACTTAGTCAGTGTGATCACATTTAGGATCGATAGTGTTACTATTAAGAGAGGTGAAACTCAGATCGAATACGGTTATCAAAGTGCCACTAGATGCTCTAACTCATTGCATATGCATTTAGGATCTAGTGGAGTGCTAACACCCTTGAAAATGTTTGTGAAAATATGTTAACACATGTGCACAAGGTGATACACTTGGTGGTTGGCACATTTGATCAAGGGTGGTGAAGTTTAGGTACAAGGATAAGAAACTCCACCGGCGGAGTGTCCACCCATAGAGTGCGGACAGTCTGACGGTGCCACTGGCGCCCTAGACAGAAAAGATGGAGGTCATTGGGAGTGACCCTGGACGCCGGTCTCTCGGTTGGACGGCTGCGTCTCAGTCAGTGTAACATAAAAGAAGACGTCAGAGTAGGTCAAACGATCAGACGTTGGGTCGCTCTGCGACCGGACGCTGGCAGGGTGCGTCCGGTCAGTGCTGACGTACGCTGACATGAGGCACACAGAGGAGACGTTGTGGGACCGGACGCTGGGTGTGTCCAATCGGGCATGCCTAGATGCGTCCGGTCATAAAAATTCATTTCTGGAACCTTACTGGAAATGACCGGACGCTGGAGGCTGAGCGTCCGGTCAGTTGTAGCGCAGTGTCCGGTCAACAAATGACCGTTGAAATCTGATGAACTGTATTTGAAGCCAGGGACACGTGACTGACATCGGGCGACCGGACGCTGGGTTCAGAGTCCGATCAATATGACCGGAGCGTCCGGTCACCCCGCGTTGTGCTCAGTGAAGGGGTACAACGACTCTATTTCGTGGGGGCTTCTATTTAAGCCCCATGGTCGGCTCAAGCTCACTCTCTTGGCCATTTACATTGACATAGTAACCTTGTGAGCTTAGCCAAAGCCCTCCCACTCATCTCGATCATTGATTCATCATCTTTGTGAGATTGGGAGAGAATCCAAGTGCATTGCTTGAGTGTTTGCATCTAGAAGCACTTGGTGTTCGTGTTTCATTCAAGGGATTCGCTTGTTACTCTTGGTGGTTGCCGCCACTGCAGACGGCTTGGAGCAGCAAGGATCATCGAGTGGAGGGTGGTGATTGTCTCCCGGCTCCGATCGTGGTGATTGTGAGGGTCCTTGACCTTTTCTCGTGAGCGCCAAAAGGTACTCTAGTGGATTGCTCGTGGCTTATGTGATCATCATCTTGTGTTGGTTGTGCGACACCCTATTGAGGGTTTGGCGTGTGAAGCCAATTAGCGCGTGAACCTCCAAGTGAGTGAATCGCCACAACGAGGACTAGCTTGCCGGCAAGCAAGTGAACCTCGGTAAAAAATCATTGGGTTCATCATTGATTTCGTGGTA